TAATAATAATAATAATAATAATAATAATAATAATAATAATAATAATAATAATAATAATAAAAAATTGTTGGGTTGCTTGATTAACAGGGGGCATCTATAGGAAGAATCATAAACTTATGACCACTCAGTCAAAACCTTGCTTTTTCTTTTTTATACATACAACACATTTTTAAAAGACACAGGATTTTATTGCATAGTTACATCCATTCTCTTGACATTTTTGACAGCTTCCAAGTCACTGAAGCCCCTGTTTATTAATAATGACTGTTCATTAGATTGCCTCAACTGTTTACCAAAAGTGACATGTTTACCAAAAGTGAATGGTTTTCCATTCATTCAGAGTACCTAATTCCAATTTTTGTTTATGATGTATGACAATATGTCATTTCAAGTGTAGTCAACCACAGCCAGATGGAAGAGTTCATAGCATGGCATAACAAATATTAAGCTAATGTGCAGTTAATCCAGGTTTAAGTCTGTTATATGAACTCTGGAGTATGAAATGAAACATGGAACTATTGCTTTATCCTGAAGCAATGGAAATAAGTTTCAGTATCGAAAGACAAACAGAACAAAAGAGCCCTTTGTTGGAAGAGATCTTGCTTCTCCTCCCCAGACAGATGGAGGGTACAGGAGATCAAAAGTAAGGCCAAGGGCTCTCTCCCCACTTTATTTGAATCATAATTTATTTTGTTTCCAATGAAGAAAGAGAACCAAGCATACCCTTTCCAGTGATAAAAGCTTCAAAGTACTCATCCCAGGTTTCCTGGTCAGAAATCAATTTGAGGCCTTTGGAAAAATGGAAGTAAGATACAGCTGTGTCCTTTGGATTCCGTAACAAAGCCAGTATCTTTAAGGCAAAATCATATATGGACATGTAAATATAAAATCTAGAAGACCAGAGCCAGAAACCTGAAAACATTCCATTTTTAAAAAATTGCAGTATGAAAGTTTAAATGTAGCTACCTAGAGTCACCTTGTAGGGGAGATGGGTGGAATAGAAAATAATAAACAAACAAACAAGAAAATGAATTGAATGGGGATTACAGATAAAATCACCAGATTAGGAGAACAGTAATTTTTAAAGAGTTTTTCCAAGACCATTTTCCAAGATTCTAAATAAACTATTGTAAGCAGCAAAGCTCAGAATCTTTGACTTGAAATTTTTAACAATGACTCAGTTTGAATATTTAAGTGAAGATTTTATTTATTTTGTTTATTGCTTGAATTTATTTGCAAGTCATCTCATCTTGAAACAATTCTGGATGGTGATCACTGATGTGATGAACTTGCCTGATACTAACATAACACTAAATAATGACATCCAGTACAGAGGTGGTATTCAGCAAGTTCTGACCAGTTCTGGAGAACTGGTAGTGGAAATTTTGGGTAGCTTGGAGAACCACCTCTGACTGGCCCCACTCCCATCTATTCTCTGCCTCCTGAGTCCCAGCTGTTCGGCTGGGTCTTCTTTTGTTGCCCTGCACAGGAGAATGGAGCTGGAAAGCAGGTTAGTGGGTTGGGGAGGGAATGGGATTTTGCAGTAACCTTCCCCCAGAGTGGGGAGGGAATGGAGATTTTACAGTATCCTTCCCCTACCATGCCCACCAAGCCATGCTACACCCACCAAGGCACACCCACAGAGCCAGTAGTAACAAATTTTGAATCCCACCACTGATCCAGTGGCAATAAGTCTCCAACTTTCCAATGATGCACCTAACTTGCTTGCTTGAAAACCAGAAAAAGAAAGCTTTCAATTTTTCTTCTGATTAAAGTACAGTTGCTCATAGGTAAAATCCAGGCCTGCTCAGGTCATGAAAATTTGACATGATCCTGGGCATGTTGTCCTATTTTACTGTGTAAATTTATTTGACAACATCTCATTGATAGATGATATATGTACTAATGATATATAAAATTGAAATCGAGAAAATTAAGGTACTTACTTTTGCCTTTTGTTCAAAAACAGACTTGGGCAACTTTTGAGGGATGAGGTGTGTTTTTATAACTCTTCTGGAAGGCAGTTTTTCCATCCTCTTTAATAATGTTTAAATCAAAGGAAGTTAACATCATTCATGCAAAGAAAATGATACACAAATATAAATTAGGGATATCAAAGCTCATTTCAACAAAATGAGTCCTACTGAACTTTGTCATCATAAACTGCTGTGGTGGACTGGAGGAAGGTTCAAAGAGGGGCCCGAGTTTGGAGTCATTGTTCTAGAGCAGGGATGTTAAACTGGCGACCTGCGGGCTGGATGCGTCGCATGAAGGCCACGCCCACCCCAGCTTCGTGAATGGAAAAATACCACGAAACATCACATGACGGCAATGTGACACTGCGAGTTTGACATTTGTGTTCTAGAAAAAACAGCACAAGTCCAATCCCCTCAGAATCCTTGCTGTTCCCAAGGGAATGTATTCTCTAGTGAGATTCTTTTAAGTTATTTGACTGGATTTTTTCCCCTACAATTCTCTGTGAAAGTGGGCATGAACTGAACTAAGAATTCCTGATAAAATACAAAGCTACAGAAAATATTTTAAAATACGGACAAGCTGAAATCTCCGAATCTTCAATTCAAGCCCTAACTTTTTACTTGTTTGTCTTCATGCAGCCTGTATATGTGCTCTCTTAAGTGAGGATATATATTTATCACTGATACGTAGTAGCATATTATCAAAAATCAAAGATGAAATTTCATTCCCCATTCCAATGGAAATTACACTAAATAAGGTCGGTTAAACTTTGGGATAGAATTTATTCATCTAAAAAAACAAAGTAAAAATGTTGTCTCCGCTGACTTGGGCCTTGATGTCAGACAGTAGCTCCTTTGTGACCTCTGTCTGTGAAAGTATCACCATGTCCCATCAAACATACACATTGAGATAAGTGCAGCTCTTACTTCCAAAAAGGATGCCTGCTCCTACTTTAGCTTATTTCTCATAGATTAATGTTATGATATTTAAGGGCAGAGTTCAGACTACCAAAATCTGCTTTGTTTTTAGTAGAGCTCCAAAGAGCTACAACACATTTTTGCAGTGAGCTGATTAAACCAAACACAGAGCCTCACACACAAATCCATATTTTTCTCCTGCACCTACCTAGCTTTTTTCCCCCTTTTCTAATGAGTGAATTTTACTTTGTTAAAACAGAGCTGCTCTGTCCCACGTCAGTTTTTAAATCTTTCATGTGACATTCCTGCCACTTGATAGAAGCTACTGACTATTTCTAACAGCAATTTCTAGCAGTTTCTAACCTCAAATTTTTCTGGTTCTCCAAATTCAAGAAAAAGAAATCGTGATAATTCTATCAGTTTTTGCAGCCTTTGTTTCTGTTCGTCTTCCTCATATTTTCCAGAGGCAACTTCCAGCTGCATTAAGATCTGCTGAACCCAGTTTGAACCTGAAGAAATGAAGAAATGCTATCAGTTAATATATAAAAAGACATATTCATTCCTGACTGTAGATCATTTCAATGATATCAGAATTAAAACTATAAACACAGATTGAGAACATGCAGGAATAACATTGACTGGACATGCAACTTCAAAAAGAATAAGAGGAGGGTGCAACTCTGTGGTTTGTTGCATGCACATTAACTTTAGGTACATAGACTTGTTGAGTAGGAACTTAGTATTAACTCGTCATTAAGCATTGTTACTAAAAATGGCAACTCTCAACTGTCTTCTTTTTAAAATAAAAATACAGAAACATATAAAACTGTCTGATAGAGCTGTATTATAATCTACATTGCATGAAATATTCACGGTTTCAAAATCAAAGTCCTTGCAACCTTGAATAATTAAATCTATCCGGTTTGACTAGATATGTGCTACTGTATATGTAATTCTTTTGGGTTATGTCCACAGAATACAGAATTTATCAACACACCAGTTTTTTCGCCTGCCCAGAACCTGATATAATCATTTTTCAATATTACACAAACAATAGGAAAATTAATTTTACAATTTTTGTTCATGTCTTTTCATACATCGCATGGATTGATTTGGAAAATATGTAACTGACATTTTCAGAATTACAGTATTGAAGGTTGATATAGTTGAT